GAACAGTCGCTGAAAATAAGAGTGACTGCGCCATTCAAACAGAATCTCCATTTAGGTCCGTGGGACATTATCGATCCTCTAAACCTGAATTCTCGTTCACGTATTTTCCCCTGTATTTGTCTGTTTCCAGTGTTTGTACTCGATCTGTGTTTAGCAATTACGCCATACGGTGTTCGGTCCAGCATCCTGAGAGTACATTTTGACTACCTGTATTGTCTACATGGTATTCAACTGCACGAATGAGAATGTTCTCAAACCACTTACCTTACCCCGAACTGCCATCCAAGTCGGGTCAGTCTACAATCTTATCCTATAGAGAACGATTAACAGGCACATCGTACATGAGCAAATCTCCTTTGTCCCAAACCAAATTCGATCACCCCAATCTTTGTCTTGGTCCTAGATCAGCCCACACTAAAGCGTCTGGATATAATTTTGACCCTTATTAGAGCTCATCAGCTACGTATATCATCGGCCGTGCGTGGATCTGAAACCCCGAAAGTGTGAGGCGCATGCTGGCCGCACCAGACTTATCACATGTAAACATACAAAAATACAGAAGTTTGGGTGATGTGATTGGTTTGTCTGATGCTGCAAAACAATGATCCGGTAACTATTCTGGTCGAGTCGCCTGTCAGGACCTCCAAGCAGGTAACGCCACAGCTCACTCAATCCTGCTGGATGAGATTAATTATATCTAAGTTTTTGGAGTTTCGTTGGACCAGTATTCACATCACGCGCATCCGAACAGCTTCCCTTTTGTTCTGTCGCATTTATTCCTTTTTGTCCACACCAAAACTGGGGAGTTGTATTCTTTTTTGCTTTTATCAAATCTTATCGGATTTTTGGATTACGAAGCCCTTCTGAGTCACGAATATACACTGCTGGTCAGCAACTGCGTTCAGTCCTTGCATATGGTTTCGAATTGAAATTTTGTATGATATTCTCCTGACAAAATTACTTTTCTACATGCGACTTCCAGTCAGTTTTATTTATCTCTCTAATCATAACACCTCTTGGTAGAAAATGCCAAATTAGTGGACGTGTTTCTCAGTGTTATCCATTTGATTGCTCCGAGAAAGTTAGCAACTGTCTCATTCAAATCCTTACTTTAAATTGCCTCTAGCAAGCATACATTCGGAAGACTATCCACTTCCAAATTTATGTTTAAATTCCTCCTTGAGAAGACGCTGGACACCATTGGGGGTCCCAATTTTCCATTTTTCGATTCAGTGTTCCTCTTGCGTCTCATTACACCTGAGTTGTCATTCTGGTTCAAGACTTGAGTGCCCTGCACCTTGCAATCAACTCGCGTAACATTGCACTCGACTCCTCTTGTAGTCGCCTGATTAGGCTTCATTGCTCGGTGAATTCCGGGGACCTCCATGTACACGCTAAATCGCTGGCACAACCCGGCCACCATCCATCCACGTGCACACGCTTCACAAATATCCGACGGCATTTGTTTATTTGAGGGTTCTACAACTACCATTATCGCACACCACTTACACTGAGTTATCCGCTGGTACGCATTGCCTTTCAGTATTACACGTTCTTTACAATTCAGGGTGACATGTTCCTGACACGTTTGGGCTTCTGACCCTAGGAGAACTTGGCGCTGTCCTGTGTGTTCGTTAAGCCATGGACCAAAACCGCTTTCGTTGTGTTCACATAAAACAGCTGATGTATACCTCCTGTTAACACGCCTAGTTTCAAAACAAGTAGGAACGTCTCCACACCCTGACTCTTGAGTATCATGTCATGGGGGTTGCTTCTTGTCATTTCCGTCAAGCTAATCGTTTTCGTGACTCTTAATTCATTAATCAAGTCTCACGTAACCTAATTCTGTCTTTCTGTATAGCGACCGATCTTTCATTACCCCAGATGATTCTCCACCGTTTCATCCCGTAACTCACTCACACTCATCTAACTTCAATGCCACGAATGCGCTCTGCTTATTCGTTTACAGGCTTTGAAAACGCCATCTTGATTCGCATACCTCCTTGGCTACGTGAATATTAGTCAAAGATGTAATAGCTCAGCCACGGTTTCGGGTCCGTTCGCTGGGCGAACCAGACCAGAAGGTTCCACGTCGACACTGGTTTGACTGGTGCAGTGACTCCGCAGGCTATACGCTTAGAACCACTCCATGTGGTCAAAAAACGCAGCCTGATGATGAGCAGCGAGTGACCGCACCACGCAGATCCTATCGGTTGTAAGTAAATCCACACTGTCTTCTGCTAAGCAACGGGCAGCAGGTGCTCTGCCTTCCTGCGAATAAAGAGGGTTAGAAAAGTATATCCGGAAAACTGCACATCCCGGCAATTGGCCGTGAGGCCCGGTAACCTATCCGATAGTGTTCAGAGACCGTTACGTTTTGTCGGTGTATGCATATAGGTCTGTGGCTAACTCCCTGTCGATTTGTATCACCCAACGATGCGAAGCAATATTGTTTTTTCTTATCCCTTATTTATCAATATGGTTCTCGACCCTTCTTAAGCGGCCTCCCACAACTCGGAACTTTCAAGGTGCTCGCTCAGAGGTAGTAAGTGGGTTGAAAGTGATGTCGCTTATGTTGGATTGGTCGCTCACAAGTGCTAACCATTTTGAGTAACTCTGTATCATTTGACGTGCATTGCACACCGATCTGTGTAAAATGCTACTGAATTGCTTCTTGGAAAAGCCCAATGTAATGTGTTCGATAAACTCACCCACCTACGCAGGTGCATGTCAAGGTAAACTGACAAAAGACAAAACGACTGCCAGAATCGTGAATTTCATTGTGGCTTTCAAGGTATGGTACACTTGATACAAGTTTAAGGGCAGGGTCTACTTTGCAGCCACCCGATTCTTACTGTCTTGTGGATCTGCAACTTGGTCAATACAAACTGAAGATGCCACAAGACAATCAGAGTTCAGCAATCTGTGTCTGATGGGAACGTCCTGTCGGCTGTGCTGATGGTTGTGAGCTGTTTCTTGATGAAAAAGTGACTGTAGATGAACTGGTTATAAACTGAAGGTTACTTTGGTTAGGACATTCACTTGGCATGTCATATCACTGTCCAGTTTACAGCTCTCTTCTTGCCTAGTCCTATGTTTAGTGGAAAAATGCTCCGTTTCGTTTTAACTGAATGCTCCGAATATCCAATATTCGTGTATATGTTAGTGTGGCACGGTGAACCACCATACTATCATTGTCGTTACTCATTATCTTGACACTGGAAACTCATTATGCCGTTCTCCAGCTTAGTTTGAATAGGAATCATTAAACTCGGAAGACTATCACGAATGCGTGTTTGTTTCTAGCCATAACGATTCTTGATAAGTGAGTCACCGCGGGTTGCTTCATTCCATTATCTCTAGCTGTTTTATTCACTAGGCATTCCAAACCAGACACTAATGGTGCTATTTTAGTAGATCAAACTAGATCTTTGGCCAAGTCATATCAAGTCAAAAGGAGTTCACGAATGTGCGGGCTTATGTATCAGCTTTGCTGGCGCTGAACTACTGGAAATGATAGTTAGTTAGTAGATCAGTTGTTTGTTACGAATAACAAGGACTAACAGGCGTCGCACCACTCCGTTGGCGTTTGCTGTTATGTAGAGCGAAGTGCAATCTTTGGACTTGTGACATATTGTTCAATATGCTGTCCTTATTCTTCTGAACAAGCCCTGTTTTCAGCCTCGCGGAGTGTCTCGCGCACCACACGGTTACCATATAAGGTTCTTTTCCATTTCAGGAATTATTCACAAAATTTATCGAAACACCCAACTATTCAGGCATCAACGGTACCCTACTACTAGTAGTTAGCTCTGCTGATCTTAGAACTTGAATAGGCCACAACCTTCGATTCAGATAACTTGTTTTCTTGGTAACCTGCTACGTCGTTATGTTTTATTTTCGTGCCTAGTTTTGTTGACTCGCGGAATCCCCAGCTAACGGAGAACTGTTTTGTTGTTGCCTTCGATCTTGTCCCTAGTTGCCGTTTCGGGTCTCGACCCCCGAAAACCCATCCCCGTCGGGTCGGGTCGGGTCGAGTTGAGTTGAGTAACACACAGTGAGAGCTTGGAAGGGTAGACGAATATTTCCCCACTCACTCGTCCCAACACACACTATCACCAGTGTGAACCTACAACAAGTAATCGCAAATGCATGTTGTGCACTGACATGTAAGTGAAAAGCCCTATCCTAAGTGCATCACCGTACTAGGTTGGTAACTATTCACGCGCGGTCCCAAGTATTCGGGCAAGTTCATGCGCCACTCATAATCTAGTCTACGTTTGTTTATGTTTACTGGTGTGTTTTGCCGCTGCAGTTTTTTTCGTTAGGCCAGCTATATCACCTGTCCCATATAATTATCTGATTTGCTCTTCTTTTCGTTGGTCTATACCTTTTTGGAGTTTCCTACGAATTTAGATAGATAGATTAAAATGGTTCGCTACAGGCACCGGTCTGGGTGTTCTATTAAATCTAATTATTTCGTTCCCAATTCCATGACGCTTTAGCTTGTGGCATTTCGAAAAACAAAACGTGTCGATAGCGATGCCATGCCTAACTACACGCTACTAGAATAGGACAATCGCAACTACAAATCACTTGGCATTGTGCCATTCCTGACCTAAACTTGTTCGGCAACCATCGATTTGTTGTTTGCCCTGTCTCCTGAAATCACTTGTTTGTCCAATGTTCATACGCTTCAACATAGAAGAACACCACAACCTGTGCTGATGGGAATAAAACGCTCCACCGCCCATATGTGCATGATTGACTGACTGCATTGTAACAAGGCAAGGAATTACAAAACTACGATTGAAGTTCAGCTGTGGCGCAGAATTCCCAGGTCTCAGTGTATCACTTTATATGTAAATCTTGGCAAATAGTTGTGGTTGTCTGGTTTGTTGTGCAACAAACTACAGTATACAAAACATTGTCTAGCACATGGGTGAAAAGTGCACTCAAAACCTCAATTTCTCTCTCTCTCTCTCTCTCTCTATTTTCAGTGTTCCAATTCCACAAAGTTCCCATCTACGGAGTTTTCATCCTCGGCTGCGGCGGTGGAACAATCACAGTACTGTGTATCAAATTATTCATGCTTCCCTACTTGCGGAAACGCATCATTGGTAAGCCCAACTACTCGCTGTCTTCAGTAGTTTCCACTAGATTGTAGCTTTGTTTTAACCGTTGTTTGTGGAGCAGATCAGACGCTTTATTCTGGGTAATCCTTGCTGAGAGGACACCACAGATGTTACTCTGTGGGTCGTGGCTGATGTAAATGCTGTGTTTGACTCTGCAGTTCAGTGAATCGTCTTGGGGATTCAGTATAACAAAAGTGAAGCCTTTTGATTTCTATCGGGATCTATCAGTATAAGATGGTCCAGATATGGTCCTTGACTTATTAACGCATGACAATCCTTCATGATAACTTACATCTTGAGGGGTGAAGGACAAATAGTCCTGACTACCCGACTTACAATTTTTCACTACTGACAAACGGTGCACCTGTGCACACGTGGCACCCAGCTCTCGCTCCTCCCAACTTGATTCGAAGGAAAATTGATTAAGTCCGTCGACTTTAACAATACTGCTACACGAAACAAAGCAAAACTAACTGAACTGACGCATGGCCGTTGAGGTTCTCTTACAGAGTCTCAGCTATTCTGATTGTGTCCAGCAATGTCAATCGTAAACACCCTATTCATATGACCTTTTTTTACCTAGGTGTGGTTGACAGCAGCATGGAGCGGATACTAGCAACATCGAAATGGTGTCCCGAGAAGGCCTGGTGGACCTAAAGACAGCTAGCTTTTGGAGTAATCACCGTGCCTTCCTTGATGGGTTTCAGAAACAGTCCGTCTTGTCCTCGGTTCAATTTTTAGTGTTGTCTACTTACTCACACATCACTTTGGGCGGAAATTCCTGATCTATCTGGATACATTGGTTCAGGAAGCGCAAAATAGTTCTACAAGTTTGTGGTGAAACCTGTCAACTGCTTTTTGGGCTTTTCTGTCACATTCGACAAGCAGTGGCACGAGTGCCGTACGATCTCACAGTGGGAGACAACCGTGCATAGCTATTTTCATTAGTTCCAGATGTCTTCAACCAGCGAACAGGGTTCCTTCGTCAACGTTAGTCAGTAGTAGCAGTAACACGAGGATACAAATCCGCTGTCGCAGTTACTGTTGCCGTCAACTCAAAATGGCACGCCCTTAACAACATGGATTAAACTACGTCAGGGGTCAGCTAGAAAAGCTTCCAGAAGAATGCATGTCCACTGAGGTGGAACCAGCTGCATTATGGGTCATAATTTAGTGTTTATTCTGGAACGACTGCATCAGAAAATGAAACGCGCTCAATTTCCAGTCTGTTGGTTTCCACTCTCGATTTGCATCCATGAGAGTTATCATTCTGGGAGTTCTCAGCCCAACTGCACAATGGGCATTTATGTTCCAAAGTTAACAGTATATCGAAATATTAGTAGCTCAGTTGTTTAACGGGTCGCAGGTGGCTGTTGATCTGTCCACCAATTTGCTTGCAAACCTCCCGTCATCAGTGCTCACATTGATGACATCCCCAGCCAGCTAGCTTTATCTATGTCGCGAAGGCACCGGTGACTGAAGGTCTGAGGGTATTTGAGGTATCCAATTAATGGTTCGCGACCGTAATGCAATTCGCCTTGGTTACAAGGCTCCTGTGAGTTCCGTTTAAATACCATGACTAAACAACCTGGTTAGTGTTGCTCACGCTTTACCAGTGCATGCATTGCCTTCACCAACAAGATCTTGGCCATCGAAGCGGCTAGGACACGTAAGCCAATCAACAAACTTGGGCCCCTCGCCTTGAATTTTTATTTGGACACCAGGGCAGTGAATACCCGGAGCACGAATTCAAACTTAAAAGGTGCCTAAGCACTCCAAAGCAAGGGAGCACTTCGAAAATTCTGTTCGAAATGGATTGTGACCAATAAGCCCAGTAATCTAACTTGAGAATCCGTTTCAGATCCTCAGATTTGTGGTCCCTTGGACTACATGTTTCAATATTATATCAATAACAAGACTGAGCAAAATTAGGCGGAGGCCATTATCTATGAGAAGACTTTTGTACAGTTCACTATGAATCTCTCACACAACCAGAAGTTTCAAAATGAAACCGAATCAGTCCCACGTGGACCCGACCTATTTGCATGGCCAGGTTTTGTCCGAACCGAAAAAATCCCGTTGTCAGAGCCAATCCGATGACCATACCTTCCACGGTATCTACCATTTCATCTACAGTTGTGGTGACGCCTGCAACGGAAGAACCGATCGCCTTCTTATGCAGATGATAGCCCAACTTTCACCTTAGAGACGCAACCGTTAGACTCCCGTGTGCTGGTTGTTTTTTCGGCTGCGTTGTTCCCCTGTGTGTGAATCGTTTATTGTTTGATCACAGGAATTTCCCAGGATGATGGACTCATCTAGCCAAAAAATTGGGAGTGTTTTTCTCATTAAAAAAGGTTGTCCCGTTCACAGTGTAACATTTTGTTTGTGTATGGAGGCTTTTTATTACAGAATAGACTAGAAAAGCCATTTGCGGATCCCAAAATTTCAATCGCTTTCAAGATTTCGCCCATATTGAAGCTCGTTGGGTCGACTCAGATGGGTCGATGGTGTTTCCATGCAAGCAGACGTCTCAGATTGCCTACCTCAGAACTGCACATCTACTTAACAATCTTGAGAGAGTCATCTGACTAATTTCTGACTAATTTCTAACCATGTTTCAGACCGATGGCTTCGATACCGTAAGACTTTCAATTTTGTTCGAGCATGGCTAATCTAACAGTTGATGAGGACAGGAATCCTGGCCTCTTTGCTAAAATCATCCTCCCCAGTTCAGGAACAGTTCAATTGTTATATTTCATCTGATGACGAGATGCTCACAGGTACTTTCCTTACCAAAACAGCAGTTGTACACAGCAAAATCCCATGAATCTTCATGTGAGGCCACCCTTTCTGATCAAAACATTAGGTGGCTTCACTCCAAAGGATCACTAGCTAGTATTTCTACTATTGAGGATTCTAGGGCTTCAACGTTGCCTCGCCATCTTCCTGAAATGACTTATCAGGTAGTGATATACTAGTCTGCATGCTGACGGTAGAGTTGAAGACAGACTGAAAGACGACCCGGATGTTTGTTTGATTTGAAGTGGTTTGTACAATTTTGATCCCAAGCTTCCCGTCGAATCAGTCAACTGTTTAATGTTCGTTTGTTTGCTTGTCTATTATGGTCGTCTTCATTGAGAAAGAAGTCCAACGGACAGAGATACATGAAGACGACCATAATAACGTCAGCGAGCGCAAAGATTGACAAAAACTAGGGGAAAACAATCTATTAGTTGTTTTTCTCTCTGACGGCGATCTTTGCTTCAATTGGGTGGTTATCTAGTGTAGTTACTCCGCAGATAATTTTTAATTTTGTGACGTTTCAGTAGTTGAAATAGTGTGTTGTTTCAGCTCTCAAAATGAAATAATTGAAAGTTTCGACGAGTAGTTTCGCTTAGTGTCGATAATTTGAGTCTCTTACAAAAGTTCGCGACGGATGTGCACCGGTTCTCCCCCCTTGCTGTGGACCAGTTATAATTTTCGTAGCAGGAACGCAATCCGGTGGACATCAATGGATTTCAATATATATTCATTGTTGTAATGAGTCCTGTGGTTTAAATTTGATATGCAATCCACTACGTAATAGTTCGACCTGGTTGGGGGAATGTGGCGGTATCGGTCACATGACTCCTTAGTTGACAGGACGACAGTCAAACTTCCTCATTAATTCACCTCGCGACCTAAACCAATGAATAACTTAGGGTCCGGAGCGCCATGCGCACGCAGACGCGGTCGGTGGTGGCATGGAAAATCTCTCAATCCAAGCGTCATGTGACTAGTTAAGTATCAAAAAGAAGACAAAGCGTGTACTGGCTTGCTACTCAGGATTCACTATATCCTGCCTTTTGTTATATACAGTTTAGTAAATTAGCATTCCTACTTAACCCAGTATGGAAAAAAGGATAGTTTTGGAGGATTGTAGTGAAAGTAGAACGTAAATCGTTGGCGACCATTGTATATTTCACAGTTTGATTTGGATCTCTCAGATGTACAGCTGTGTTCAACATCCTTATTCCTCTCAGTCTTGGAAACTTTCGACTGACTCCATAGGCGACCCTTAAGACAGTAGAATTATCCGTTTGGTGTCCTGTGTTTTCTGGATGAGCTGCTTACTGTTCGAATGAAAGCTTTGGCTATCCAGGATGGAATTTACTCGAACATTCAATAGCACGAAAGCCACGTTGTTTGGCCCATATCGCGAGCCCCACAGGAACAAGCAAGCCGAGGGACGAACATCAATGTAGTCTGACGACCAGCTGCTTTCTAGTCATGCGTAGACAGCCTGCATAGAATGTGCATTTGAACATCTTTGTTAGCTTCTACACAAACGATTGGTTAACCGTGTCCCCTAATAAGGCATATGCAGACAGACAAGATTCAGTGGCGGCGATGGCTATTCTTCTTGTTGTGTTTGGCCTCCCTCTTGCTTTTAGAGCCTATCAGGTTAGGCATTGTCACGAAGGATGTTTAAAAACAGTCCAGTTCCTTGCTGAAGCGTCTTCTGTGTGCAGCTGAATTGTTCCTTCGGAACAACCCCTTGCCAGATTTATGTGAATGGACTAGCCCACCTAGGTTGCCTTTCTGAAGAAACTGCGGATGTGACGGTTTGATTTACGCGCAGTATGTCCTAAATGTCAATTTCTCGTCCCGTTCGGTAAACAAAATGCAAGAGTGTTTCTTGTGAAATGCTTCCAAAATAAACATGAGACCAACCGTTGGATTACAAAAACGGTTAGCGTGAATAAGGTTCTACAGATATTACCGTGTTGGATGTCAATTTTTATCCTGGCCACAAATATGTCGGCTAGGACCGCACCGAAGGGTGAACCCCTGATGAATCCATCTGTTCACAGAGAAAATTTCCCCTCTGAATAATTACCCTACATTCATAGTTGATGAAAAATAATGCAATACGCTGTGTTTGGAATGCATTACATTGGGGATTAAATCTTCAAATAACCGAATTCCTCAAGTAACGTCAGCATAAAGTAGCATTTGCAATGCATGGTCTATTTCACGTACTCGTTTCGGATAGGCTGCGTTTGGCAAGTTGAGAGCGCTTCTAAATGAAGCATCTTGCTTGACAGCTTTCGAGGGCATTCTCATTGTCTGTTTTTAAGTGTTAGTGTCTACTTATCTGTGCTTTGCTGTCGTGATACTCACGTAGAGAGATTATAGGTTGAACTGCCTGGAAAAATGCCCACCCGCAATACCTAGGTTCTCACTGGCACTGCTGGTTTCCCTTACAGACGCCGCATTGATGCGGTCTTAATTTCCACTTTTGTCTGTCTTTCAAGCTACTGTACGTTTGATGCACCTAATGTTCGCTGTCCGATGAAGGCGAATCCGAGAACAGTTTAATCTTCCTGCCTTTTTTAAAAAAAATCTTGGTGCACCAATGGAACAACATTCAGTCTACTGCATCACCACACAGAATGACCAATACATTCAGTTAACGAGCTCTACCCTGCTAGTCCAAAAATATGCTGCGCTAGAGACGCTGTTCGATGAAGTCGGAAGATGCACACTGTGGAGCAGACGGTCATCACTAAAGTTTCATCCTTCTGTACACCGAGGCTCGACAGACAATCAAGCCTAATGATGTGACCTTAAATAGAGTTGTCCACATGCCTGGCGTTCATAGATGACCAGATCAACGTCGAAGGAAACCTATGTGGTTGTAGATTGGTTACCTTACAGGTAGATCCATTTTCAGTTTGTCTGTCGAAACGCGTTTGATTTTTCTTCATACATTACCCACCAGTTCATTTGCAAAACACACAGACAACTCTTACAAGACATAACTGGACTCTTTCAAAAGTAGTATCGACTGCGATTCCACAACAAGCAAAACAATCGATCCCGACTTATACGTTTCCATCGATAACATGACACGTAAAGAAGATTAGCTACTTGTGAGACCTGGCAACGCGCTTTCGATCTTCTCACCTAATGCAAACTCGAGACTCAGTGAAACGATTCTGATCAGAACCAGATCGCCAGTCTTATATGCACAGGTGTTGATTAGATGGTCTTGGTTACCGTAGAACTAACTTACCTCTACCCCATCCGCAACGCATACATGCATCTGCTAACCAATGTGTCGTTTTCTGTTGACGATATTTTTGGTAGCTCAGCGAAAAAACAACGATGAATACACCGTTTTCTCTTGTTGTTTGTGCTACGCTTCTGTGTGTTGCATTTCCTGTCTCTATAACGGATGAACACTAAACCATATCACGTCAGTTGTGTGAATTCTGGTTGTTCCTACAAAATGGGCTGTGGGCATTCGTTTTTCAGCTTTTTATTCTGTGTTCTCTTTTGAGTGTGACTTCCTTCGGGGTAACTATTTGATTCTTTGAACGCAACCTGAAACAGTCAGCGGTTTCCCGTTGTATTTTGAGCCCTGATGTTACGGACACTAAACTTACATCAAGGTGCCGACGAATGCTTTCCACAGAAGTTGGCCTGGCCACATCAACCTACTGAACTCCAAATGGCTCAGCGGTTAAGGCTCCAAACTGCCAATTCCAAGGTTCGTGGGCCGAACCCGTCCTCTGCATCTTAACTGCCTCAGTCTAGTCATTGTTAGCTTGGTAGTATCTCAGCGTCCGTGCTTTTTTAGTGGCATGGCAGCTAGGCGCCGGAACGGTTGTACGGCTGGGACAATAATTCTAGCATTTTTCCACGTTCAAGTGATTAACATTGATGAACGAAATACTTCCATTTATAAGGACTTTATTTATTTCCTCCTGTGGCATCCCGCAGTTTCTGCGTGACCTTCAACATTTGTAGCACGCCTGAAGCAACGATTTGTCGAACAATGAGTGTATACTCCGATCCTTCCTCTTACACTCTCCAATGAATGTCAGAGATATCCATTTTACTCGATGCTTTTTGTACCGGATCTTACGGGGCAGAACGTGTCCACGTTAACCCTTGCTATGTTGAAGATCTCTGGTTGGCAAGGCGACCCCGATGACGTTTAGTCACCTTAGGATCCTAGGCTAGTGATGACAACGATGCCAATTGTATTGAGAAGTATCTTCCAGATCGGTGTGATGATAAGACAAGACTTGTTTTCTTTCTAAATTGAGCCACACACCATAACTAACCTCAATACACCTGTCTTCAGTCTGACATAGTGATTTAGAGAAACACAAATTCCTCGCCAATGACTATATTATCGACCGCTCAAAAGACTTGTGTGAGATATCCGTGAAAGCCGTTCTGAGCGAATTTAGCTTGTCCATGCTATCCAGACAGATACTATCGGGTACTCATACAAGCCAGGATCAGCAAGTATGGGGTCTGTCTCGGCAATAGGACTTACAGATTCTAAGCCCACAAACTGTATGATCAGGTGAACTCAGTGGACAAACACATGGCACACAAGTCTCGAAAGGACCATGTGATATTTCTTGGTCAATTATTATCAGTAGAAAATAATCACAGTTCGTTCCTTCTGAGTTCATATTCTGAACATTTCAGCACGTGGTTTATTTGTCTCCTCACCATCGTCGCCACTCTTGAATTTATGGCAACATACTGGATTCGTCAACTTCATAGCGCATCCACGTTGATAACCGTAGAAATAGAAAAGGGTTTCTCTGGGATCAGTCATAAACCGTTTTGCTCCAATAAAAAACTCAGTGAACGAACTACAGACCGTTACCACAAACACTGGGCTCCATGTCAACGTTACCACTATTATTGTCTGAACTCTCGACCATTTTTTTAAAAACAAATTCGGCTGCTTCAGTGAACTAGATAATAGAGAGCCTAAATGGAATGTGGCAAATAGTCCGTTCTAGTGTTTTGTCCTGTCGGCTTTGATTACTGCAATTCATAGGACCTCAAATTTTTCAATCGACAATATTACATTACACATATAACTGCAGCTGATTTTTTGAAAAGATGATCTAATCACACAAAAAACTGTCAAAAATCGATCATCATCAATGAGCAACTAGAGAATGCCTCCCTTAACTAACCTATTTTCTTTCCTCATTCCTCCTCTCATTCTGTTCAGCCGGTGATAACGCCGGACCGGGGATTTTGGACAAAATGTACATTGCCTGTGGTTGTCACAGACTGGAGATGTTTTGCCGAAAATGTAAACGAAAACGAAAAGGCAAACCGGAAAATGACGTGACCGTTGAGACCCCGTCACAACTAGCTCCGAAAACCAACGACCTCCGAGATAACGCAGCCATTCCAGAGGTTGCATTTGGCTCAAATCGAATTACCAATACCCCGCATGTCAAACCTCACGGTGATACGGCGAATAGACTTGCGGATGGTCGGGCAACAGGCGACCAAGAATGCCCAAATCCTCCTCATGTTGTACGGTCTGCCGGTGCTCGCAGAGTTGTCTCTAGAAGTGAGTCCTTCTCGTGCACCGATATTCAACTGAAGCCCTGTGTATATGTTGTCCTGCCCCATTGATAAACCCAGCTTTACTATCCTACGGACCACCGCGATGCTTCGAAAATGTTGCAGCCCTCCAAAAAGAAACAGTTGGTGAGAAAACACGTGCCTGGGAACAGCTGTTATATGTGAGGTGTATCGCAACCTTCCCATGAGATATGTCCTTCCGAACATGCCTGTAGCCCGAATTTCAATACAATGCGTTTCACTGTATCACGCGAAACTACGAGTGCGTCCATTCACTGAAAGATAAACAAAAGTACACATCTCGCTCGTGTTTTTTAGTAATCTTTTTGCAGTGACAAGGTTCCCTGGTTAAGTATCCCATAGGGAGGCCTTCCGTGAATTTATCATACAGTTAGTTTAACAGGGACACTTAGTACTTCTTTTATGTGGCGTTTAATGGTTACTTTCGATAACTGTATCGGTTTGCTGCCACATAACTATTGTACGATTGCTACCGGTTCATTTGTCATCCATTCGATACGACGCAAATCTGTCTGGCGTGCCCATGAAGTGTGTTTGAACAAATCTCCTGTGGTCCTATTCATATCACCTACAATTTTTTAAGAAAGGCAGACTGGTTGTAGGTATATGTATGTACTACAAAATGGGAACAGTCATTCGTAATTTCGATAAAGTTGTTAACGCTTACGCCACCCAAAAAAGTGTTTGTTTTTGCTATTTCACCATTTGTACAAAGTTCAACCCACACTTCATTCATCTAAGAGAAAGGCTCACCGGCACCTGAAACACTAGTAAAAACGACAAACTCTCTGTTTGGGCACATTACTAATGTCCAGTTAGAGCTCAACATCAACAGACACCTATGATTGCATTCTACCGAAGCGATACCTTAGGAAGAAAAACAACTCACCCGTATGGACTACAAGTGTCCCGGCAAGCCAGGATGTTGTTTGCGGTTTCCCTTCAGGCATAGAATGAAAAACTTTGTTCTTATTGGTAGTTTACTTTGAAGAATAACTGGAATTTGGGGTTGTCATGATGAAATTTCGAAGCAGTTAGAGAAAACAATCAAACGAATAGAAACAAGCTGCTGGAGCTGAGTTGATAAGAACTAATAACCTTTTTGGCTGTAACATTTTTTCGGTCCCTGGCTGCCATACCACCCGAGGGAAACACGAGGACTGAGATAGATCCGAGTTGCCCAAACCTAGACAAGAGCGGTCGATATGTCGGGGTCGGGCTCAAAGCATGGACCTTCCAGTCAGTGAGTTCGCGCCTTAACCACTGAGCCATCTGGCTGGAGGTAAAAACATGAGTTGTGCTAAGAAGTGGTAAACGGTTGGTTAACCTACCCTAATCTCTCCACCGTTGCACACCAAATTAGGAACAAACCATGCAAACCATTCTCAACAATCCTTTGCACCCCTCCAATACGGGGAATAACGGCCTCAAGGTCAAGCCAACTGTTTCCCGCTTATTTCTTTGATTCGTCTTCAATCAAGTTCCGGCTATTCAGGGTTGTCAAGCTTCAAAAACCCATGTGTTAATGCATTCAAAATCAAGACATATACGCTCGGCTTTTTATCGACCAATATTATATTCCAACGTTCCGGAATGACCAGTTCTTTTTCATCCTGTAACAGTTTCTCATGGGCACTTTTGTTCGTTGACTCATCTGACCGCTAGCATGTCAAGTTTCAGGAATCAATGGATCAAGTAGCTCCCCGCAGGCTTTTTCGCTGTAATCCCGTTTGTTTGACTTTGATTCATAAGGATTCTCATTCATTGCAGCGGAAAACGTTCACCTGACTCACATTTTTAGTCCAAACGTTTCGAGCTAGAAACGAAAGCGAAATTTCTGAGTTATGTTTTGAAGATCAGAAATTCATCATTTTTTGCTGTAACCTATGACCGTTTTTCTCCGCATCCCTTTTTCGAAAAGCTTTTGAAGTTGAACCAGTTGAACTGGCGAACATGCAAACTCAACCGAATGGAAATCAGTTTAACGCCTACTGTACTTCCATGCCATCAGACTCGACCGATCATATGTTGTCAATTACCAAACGAGGGGTACTAGCTCAACCTTCACTGCCGGCCATTGGGGAGGTGAGTGCTTTCCGCTGTCCACGCTACCAGACCTGAATTTTGCGTTACGTCAACGAAGTTTATTGCAAAACAGGCGAACAAAAGTATTCCGGATAGACAACCCCTCCACAACAGTCGATGGCGATACTAGGCAGCCGGTGCTGGCGTGAATCAGAGCTCTGTAATACAAAGGATGACAAAAGTTATCATAAAAAATTACGGCCACCAACTATAATTTTGCTCTCCAAAAATAAATTCTGAAACGTTTTCAATTCATGTGCAAATGTCTTGTTATAGCCCTGTCTATGGCTTTCACCCCACCAGAGGGACCGTTTCTGATCGGTTTCATCATAAGCCAATGTCGTGCACACGTGCATATGGCAAACAGGCCTCAATAACGTAAACCTCATTGACTACTTTTGTCATGCCTGTGTTGGTGAGTATATTTCAGCGCCCCTATTCGCAGTAAGTGGTACTGGAAGACTGTGTGAAATTCTGTCGGCTTAGGACCTTAAACAATTTTTCACTCTCTTTATTCTGGCCCCTAGTCAGTCAGTTAGCTGCAGGTCAGGCAGAATTGGTCAGTTTGTGGTTATCGTCTGCAAACCCGGTGATTGCTTTTGAGAGTAAATCACGAGAAGTGAAACCTTAAATCAGACTAGATCGAATTGGCTGGACAAACTGAGATCAACAAAAACGCCCGCGGGTTTCACAAGCATGGATTCAAATTTCAAACTTTATTAGGAAGCGTTGAACTCATTGAGTGCCAGGAATAGGGGATCTTGGGACCCGGTTAAATCAATCGACAAATCAAACGTTGAAAATGTCTGTGCCACGATTACAGCTTCTATGTTCTCGCCGGGAAACTAGGTCCCACCGGAGGAATGAATAGTTACCGGAAATAACTGTTACAACAAGGAATCCAGTAACAGAAGCTATCTATCTTGCCCTTGGAGCCAAACATGGTGACCATCCTCATGCGCCATACAACCAAAATACAAATTAGTAGACAGGCGCCACTAAACCACACGTTGGAGTCCACTTAGCAGAACACTCAAAAGCACCAGCTTTAATCTACGACCTATACTACCGATAGGACTTGGGGTGGTATCCACGAGTAGAGATACTGTCCATTTTTTGAAGTCGCCAATCTTTTGAGGTGTCACAGAGCAGTGCTTCATTGACGTCCGTCGCCCTCCCTTACGCAGTCGTCTCGTTGAAAAAACCGCAGCTAAACTGTTCCACAACCCATGTGAATTTTCCCACCCCGTTCACTGCATTTCCGCGCTCTCAGCATATTCATCAAACTTGTTATTCCAAAAGCCGAATCGTTTGAACCCGTCCGAATGGTGGTCCATCACTGCCTCACAATCTGTCACAAGTCTTCCCATCTATATTATTCCTGTGTTATTTGTCCGCTTGCTACCCTTGGTGGTAGTAGTAATTGCTTTCCGAATCCGTGTGCATACCGTTTGTCTCTCTGTGTGTGTGTGCGCGCACGCTCAGGCTTTGTGACCTAAATTGCTAACCGACGAAACTCTTCTGTTTGTGTGGTTGTACTGACTAACGCTAGGACGGGGGAAAAACCGTTGGCGTTCGAAACAAAATTGCTTCGGCGTTTGCATGAATCCAGCGTATTAGTTATGGTCCAATTTCATGTAGATCGATCATTCCACTTTTGCATAATCCTCATCAGTAGCCATGGCAGATCGCCTCCGCAAGTGCCTAACTCTTTTCTTTTCGGATTTTGACTTTCAGTCTAGTGCGCCCGGTTTGTTTGAAACAATACTGCCCCGATTGTTGGAACGTATATTTTTTGTTTGGCAAAACGGTTTACACCGGAAGTATCTGTGAGGATTTTTTAGGCTTTTAGCTTGACCATTACACAGTAACTTATGTTCCAATCAGGTGAACAAAGGATTTAAACTCCAAACATGTACATGTACAAAGTGGGAGTGGTATCCACGGCTCCTTCCCATACGCTAGCTCACAAAAACTAAATGCAAGCTGTAATACACGCGTTAAGATGCATCAAGGAACCGACTACCCAGAGCTACCAAGGACAAAGACATTTCGGCAATCTTGACATGTGCATTTCAACGATGGAGACCTGAATTGATTATAAAAACAATTTCAATATCCAGTGGTCATATCCGTGTCGCTGTGGTATCATTAGGGCCTGTACTTGCTGAGCTCTCTTAGGAGAACGTGTCCGCAGGTTGAATAGTCGTGCGTGAATAGAATCAAACCGATAAGTATCCCGGTATATTTCACACGCAGTTTCGAAGGTAACTTCATTTCTATTGTCCGACTGCAAATTTGTTCCCGTTTTTCTGATTCAAATGGGAATGATCTCATGAATAATTCATCGGCGAACTCAAAAAGTACTTCAGGTCATTGAAACTGAATCTTCGGTGAAGAACATTGTGACGTGCTTATCTGAATCCTGAATCACTAGGTAGTACGTGGGCCATGTTCGGTTGCATCACGGCTAAGCAGAGTTTGAATGCGATGTGTGAATGACGATGTGGCCAATGTAGGACCAGGGTTGGCACCTGCTGAGGGACACCACGTCACCAGACGGTTTCGTTACCCCGGAAAGCGGTATTGCATCAGGACTGTTTGCGACTATCACATTGCTGAAGCAGTCTTTTGAAGTTGTCCCTGCTTATATCATCCAACCCATGTCGGCCAATTAATTAAGCTTCAGTTGCTCTACCAATTCTATCCAACTGTACCTTCAAATCTTCAGCAACCACAATGACATCTTGGATCTTAGAATTCAGTAACATGGCACTCAAAATGGGAACATTTCACTCCTACTTGCCAAGTGATGTGAACATCTCCGAAAGCCACCATTGAACCACGTGTTGAGCCACTAGATTCGGAAATGTGTTTCACCTGGAGCCAAAACAACGTTGTAAACATCCGTAAACATGGATCCACTACGTGGAAAATGGAGTCTTTAAACTCACTGGGTACCCTGGGCCGCGTCTTTGGCATACAATAGCTTTACGTTTTGGCACGGGTTGCCAAAGTGGACCAAACATTACGGGATTTTATGCACTAGTGTCCTCATCACCCTTGTTTGAAAAACCCAACCCTATTCTGATGTGGCTTCGCCAGCTGGTATCTTCGAACTGGAGTTTCCCCCTTCCTCATGTGGAATTCTCTGCTGATTTTGTACGGACCAGTTAGAGGATACACACCATACAAAAAGGGCGAGCGTTTAACTGAGTGTGCTTTGAGTGCAGGGTCCAAATTGTCAGTTGCTTTCCATTGGTGTATGCCTTTCCGTCTGGAGAGTCACGGATTTTGCGCTAGTGGATGGCAGCTTTATAAAAATATACGACTGTTGATGCTAGCCGGCTACCTAGGTTAGAAAATATTCTAAGACGAACTTTGTTGAGTATCCTTCCTTGTTTCATCCTTTTGTCTTTCCACAGTACAGCTTTCTTCATCTTACACTAATGGTTGTTTGAAAACACTCCTTCATGCTCTGTGGCTACGTGCATTGGTGTAACATTTCCCCGAAGAAAACGGTTCGAAATAACGCACCCCTTGGCTAAATGACAGTGCCAATGTCTAGTCTGGTGCTGATAGCCATTGCCTTTTCTGCTCTGAGACACAGCGAGTAATTGCTATGTTTTAATTCCTAAAGTATTGACGCTCGCGACAGCATTGGTGTCCCATGTGATTATCCGGCTGTCCGAAACTATCACACTTCGAGGAGAACTGCGAAAGCGATTTGCTGATGATGCATATGATGCCATACCAGACCATTTCCCAACAGTTCCCCGAGACAGGCGCCAATTTTTCGAAGTGGACAGTGTCGGTCTGTGTTCCTCATTATTCTGCTGTGTCCTTTGACGACCGACAGTCGCCTGAAAGCAAAACAATGCACTATACGCTTTAGAACATGTTCGCAACCGCAACTTTTTTCCATCCTGCGTACTTGGGCACTTTAAACTCCTACACTTCTGTTGCCTTTAGCGCACACAACTCTGAAATTCAATGGACACCTGTGGCTTGTTCTTGCATAGTTGCCTTGCATGACACCTGTATGTGTATGTACCTGCTAAGCAAATACGGTTTCAAGTTTACAAATTACTCAGAAGCAAAACGTTTTGGGACAGAGGGGAATCATTTACTTTTTTGGGCTACTACGGCATGAAATGTGTTTAATTTGGTTCTGTTCTGTCCAACACCCACTCATCTGTTTCCAGGAGGATTCTGAAGGTCGCGAACTTGTCAAGGATCGCCCAACAGAAGCTAGAGTTTTTTGGCTTCTACAGATACTCACCTCGGTCTTCGGTTCGTTCGCTCATGGTGGAAATGATGTCAGGTACCTAGCAACATTAGGTTTATTTGCATTTTACCCGTTCCATGGCTGCTACTTTTCTACTCAAAAAAAATCAGTAGTAAAAATATCTCACGAAATCCTGGGTTTGGGTATGTTTAGGTGACTTCCCATGGACAAGAGCTAAATGGAAAACAGCGTTCGAGTGTTTAACAAAATAACTCACAATATGTAGCTTCTTCAAATCACAATATTCTTTCGAACTGTCACCAACCCATTTTCCTATCAATCCGGTTAGTGCCAAATTCCCATCTGCGCGAATAGCAAATAGCGAATATTAGGACAGGTGACTGTCAGAGCAGCACTGGGTAGACACAGGTTTCTGTCACAGCGCTCGATAGTCAATGTGTTTTCTGCAGTCCAAAAATATTGTCTACCACTGTGAATGAAAAGAATATGTGAAGAACCGGGAAGCAGTCTTAACTTAGTTACTATATTAGTAAGCAGACGGAAAAGTTTCAAAACGCTCACTGTCCGTCTGCCTGAATAAGCATGAACTCCTCTCTAATTATTCCTAGTTCCGTCAACTGCTTCAGTCATACCTTTTCTTGACACGCTAACTGTCGCTGGATGACCCGAAAAACCAACCCTAATGATGTCGTACGATATATGTCATCAAGTAATTACATTTGCCGTTTTTAGCATGTCCACTAATTTACTGATTTGCAGATTAGCCTCGACTCAGCCTGTTTGCAATGATGATTACGTCACTTCTCCAACAAAAGAATCAATAGCCTTCCCTGAAAGTATTTTCTGTCTTCACTGTCAACCGAACCGGTGCGTTTAGATGCAAAAATATCTTCTTCGCTTCCTTTCAAGCAACGCCATCGGGCCACTGATGGGTCTTTGGATTATCGGTGTGACGCAGGATGTCAATTCCAAGATGGCCAATCCTTACTGGATCCTGGTCTACGGTGGCATCGGTATCTCTATTGGTCTGTGGGTCTGGGGAAGACGAGTCATTCAGACACTGGGAGAGGATCTCACCGTTATAACCCCTTCCAGGTAGGTTTGTTTGGTGTAAGTTGGCAAAGGCTTGAAAAGCGATTCTTGGTTTCATTTGGAGCATTATAGTGATGGTGAATCAAGAAGACTGATTGCCCTCTGGCGACTTACAACATTTGAAAAATGCATGCGCTTTATGGATGTAGAAGCGTTTATTAATTTGTCTGATATGCGAATCTTCATTCGTTCAACTAACTTAAAGACAATACACTCATTTGCAAACTAATTTGGTTTTTCGGGAGACTCACCTGGAACCCAGCTGAATCTCTCGTTTCTGATGTTTCCAGGCAACTGAATGTGCTGCAATAGGCCACTTCATGCTTCAGTCGCTACGATATCCGAGATATCGCGATACATGCATTTATTGTAATAACTACTCATAAGGTTGCTGAATCGACGAACTTTCAGCAACCTTATGAGAAATGCATTACAAACTTAAGGACAAGGTTGGCCAGTGTTTGAAACCGACTGGAAAATAAGTCTAACTGCATGCTAGCTAGATTTTGGGTTCAATTTTTTCTCCGTCTGTGTCTGTGATTTATAGGTGCTAGTTGAGAGAAGCCGTGTGAATTAGGCTCAGATCGGTTGAAAATGAACTCACCAGCGACACGTTCTTATCAAATACCACTGAATCGCGTCTCCAACAGCTGTTCATGGTACCTAGTGGGTACTGAACTTATCGATACATCTAACTTATTTACCTCCGAACGACTTGTTTTCATTCTTCAAAATAGTGCACCATTCGTAACTCTATGGGTCAAACTTACCCCGGCGATTTCGTCGCGGTTTTAGACCTGACCACCAGCATCTGTTCACTTGGTGCTGCTCAGAATCGCCAGGCCATAAACCTGAAACTTCGTCTCCCAGTAGGCTGGTCCCATACCAGATGCTGAGTACCTCCAGTGATTCATGGCTACACCTGACTGTCCTTCAGGGTGTTCAAGTCACCATCCTGTACCACGTACTATCAATCCAAAGCAAAATACCCAAGTACTGTTCTCCACTCTTACGGCATGGCGTGTTTCCTCCCTAAGATAATGCTTGGACACTGTAACCTCTTGATGTTATATCTACTTCCGTTGGGACCGTCGCTTTTCAAATGTCGTTCTGCCGGCAAAATAACTTATTGCGTTTTAAGTGGTCTGCATGATGAAAGGGTATAATTAGCATCATTCCAGTGCCTGACGGCAAATGCTGTTATGGACCCTTTTCTCGATCGACCTCCTCTCGGACGGGTCTAATGGGTTGTTTATCAAATGGAGGAGAATTTACGACGTACCCGATGGATTTGACCGTGAGGCAGAGCCAACCCCTGCTCGAAATAGCTCGTGTTTTGGCGTGACCAACCTGAAAGCACATCGCTTCTCATGCTTCTAGAGGTTTTGGTTATATTGTGACGGTTCTAAAAGCGATCTAATTTTATTCTTGTGGGCATTCATAACTATCTGGTGCGTGAGCTGCCATTTGCTGGTCTTCAGTCATCAGATATATTCGCCTTCTATGTGTTCCTCACCTTTCTATTTGTTCGTTCACTCAAGTGGCGTGTGCATCGAACTCGGTTCAGCCCTGACTGTGCTACTTGCTAGCAAATTCGGTCTACCGGTATCCACTACGCACTGTCAAGTTGGTTCGGTCATTGCCGTCGGACGCTTTCGATCCCGGGACAATGTGGACTGGCGGATCTTCCGTAACATTATAATCGCCTGGGTGGTAACCGTGCCAATGGCTTGTGGTATCTCTGCTCTCATCATGTTTTTGTTACGATTTGCTCTATAGTTGAAGGCTTTTTGGAACAAACAGCCAGATAAAACTTGTGGAAAACTAAGATTTTTCTATGTCGCTTTTTAGACCATTTTTTCAACCTGTGTCATCGCAGTCAACTTGTTAGTCGCTCTCATTTTTTC